TGTTTGAATATACTCTTGGTTTTCTTCTTTTGCCCGAAGTATGTGCATAACTTATCATCACTGATCTTCTTCATCTGCCTTTTTTAAGTTCGAAATTCATTAATCTTCGAGATAAATCTATTTTATTAACTTCCATTAAGACTTTAACGACTTTCTGTTATCATCATACCTTTGGTTATGGTGGTTTATTATACTTATCATAAACATTTACTAAAGATCTTGTTGAATCCGCCCTGGTTCAAGAACACTCTGCACATACTTGTGGAAACGGTTTAAGAATGTTCTGGAAGTTCATAATTTGAACCCAGAGAATAAGATAAAAGGTGGTATTAAGGTACAGGTTCTGGAAAATCAGCAATACGCGGTTATCCAAAAAACTATTACTCCAAGTTTTGCTCTAAGACGAAACGTTTCTAAACAGGGTTGTGTCGCCATCAAGCCTACGGTCAGTCATTCATCCTCCATTCAATTACCGCCTTTGTTGAATAAGAGTTGTTATCTGCAGTTTAGAGAATTCACTTGCGTATCAGTATGTTTTTCCTAGCAGTCAAGCAATAAACCACCATTTATTATAGTAGGGTTTCGGTTTTCCACCTGTCTCTCCATGACAGTTGATGTTCCATACTTCGGCATATCTACGTAGTTCTTTCATTGTTCTTATATTCGTAGTATTGAAGCAGACCTCGCCAAAAAATATCTTTTTGTCCATATTGACAGCTTTATTCCTTCAAAATTACACCCATTTGTGTTTGTATTTGATATTTTCTATATGGTGTGTATTTTCTGTCCATATCTTACTGTTATTTCTTCAGAGTAAGGTGGTTGCTATTCAGTGATGATTATCATCTGTATCAATTATGATTCTTTGAGTCGTAATGCAAGTTTTTGGTACATATAGATCTAGCACTCGAACCTTCTAATTACTGTACGCAACCACATCCTATCAGAGGACTGCCCTGAACTATGTTTGTAAGATACAGATCGATTGTAGTGGCTGTTCATTGTGTGAAGAATTCGAAATCATGTTTTGTGTAGTACAGCATGTAATATGACGCTTATAGTCTGATGACTGACGACGTTCTATTTAGTCTCATTAGTACTGCACTTTCAACTCTCAATATTCATGGGTTCGACGTGAAAGCTTTGCGAGCTTTTCGTGTGCTGCGACCGCTTCGACTGGTGAGCGGAGTGCCAAGTAAGCACCGCAAATTTATTTTTTTTTATCTGTTTCTGTTTTTTCTGCGCTGTCATTTCATTCAACTTTTTTTCTAGGCCTTCAGGTTGTACTGAATTCCATTCTACGTGCCATGGTGCCTTTGTTTCACATTGCCCTTCTTGTTCTGTTTGTAATTATTATATATGCGATCATCGGACTGGAACTGTTTTGCGGGAAACTGCATAAAACGTGCGTCAACGCAAATTCAGGTCAGTCTACGTTACTGAAATTTGAAAAAAAATATTGTAGGTGCTTGTATAAGGGTTTGTATATTTGTAGAGCATAGTAATAGAAAAAGTATAATCATATTTGATATTGTTTATTTTTTTGTTTTTATTCTGACGTTTACTGCAACTAAACAATATGCTTCACTGTGATTCGCTATAATTATACATTTTTTCTGACAGTAATGTGGTGGCGGTAGTTTAGAGATACCGTTGTTTAGTTTCTTGAAAATCGTACGGTGTTTAAGCCTTGTCATTATATCTGTGCTTGACCGATGACAGCCTTTCCATGTCACTTATTCATCATTGTCATTTATTTAATCAAACTAACGCATGCGTTCATTCGGCCATCAAATGTTATATTGTGATAAGAGCAACCCAACGAATTTTGCACAATGCCCTTCAATTACCGAAGCATCATCTAGAGCAAAGTGTGAACGCCCGTAATGAATCCAACCAGATTGTACAGAATCATCTTTTTATGACAGATTCATTATGCTGGCTTAATGAGACTTGTAAATCTTCTCATCGATTTATTGTTGTCATTTTGATTTGTAATCCTACTTCACGACTATGAAGAATATGTACCATGTTTGTCTGCTGCCCATGTCATGGAGTCGAACTCGGATTTAGAATTATGATTTGGCTGCTTGGAGCCAAAAAAATTTTTATTCTGCATCTACCACCAATAATTTTGTGAAATTAATAATTATTTATTTTTCAAACCATTTTCTGCTCTTTTAGCTGTCCGATAATAGCCGTCTTTGGCTCAGTCTCGTACATGACAAAACATGAGAATACCGATTTGCCTCGTCATCAGGCATTGCGTTTCTTGGCATCAATTCAAAATAGTGCCGATAATAGTGCGTAAGAACAAATACATCTATATGAGTGCATTTATGGTTGTTGATATCAGTCGCTATATATCCTATTTGTTTCATTTACTCATGCAGTTAATTGGTAATTAAAATCAGTTTACACACTCATTACTTTGCAAATTTCCCATTATATATTATCATCGACCTTTTTCGATCCACTGTTGGATGAAAACCCCTCGCAGTGTTCGCGATAGACATGTTTCTGTCATTTTTTACCAGCGATCCAGCGACTTTTTCAACTCATCCTGCCATCGATTTTGAAGTGTTCATTCTCGACGTTTACTGTGTTTAGGATCCCATCTCACGTCTTTCGGGTCCAGCGATGGTCGGTTGTTCTTGCAATGTGCTCTGCCCTAACCTCTTCAACTTCTTCGCTCAGTCAGTGACATATTCATATCCTTTCATTTATCTTTCTATCTTTCCTTCTTAATGCCAAATATATTTCCATGCTGTGTTGCGTAATCTGCAGTTTATGAGCAGTTTTCAAGTTAAAGCCTTCGTCTCGCGTCCTTGGCCTATTTGGGGAGAAAGATAACACACTAGTCGAATATTTTCTGTTTTAAGTACAAGGACAGTTTCCCGGAGAGGACCCAGGCCAGTTCTGTTGATTTTACATTGTCGATTCTTCATGGCAGATAGACGTAGTTTTGCACTTTCTCAGGCCTAAGTCATTTGAATTAAGCACAGTCACGTATTCGTGAAACATGACCTGAATTTTCTTCGGGTACATTTTCATTCCTGCTGGCGTTGCTCATCTTGGATTCTTCTTTGGCGTTCTTCTGGTGGCCTAGAGAGGATTAGAATATCGTCTGCAAACTGCAGGTAGCTTAAATAGCGTCCATTAATCTTAAGTTTGATTTTTCCAACGAAGTGCTTTGAATAACTCTTCTAGGCTACTGTGAATAATTTAGGCGATACTGTTTCTCCCTGTCGAACATGTTTATCTATTTTGAATTTGCTTGTACTTTCGTGAGTTCTTATGCTAGCAGCTACATTGTTGCAAATCATGGCAGTCAGTTCTACATATCTTTTCTTCATTCTCTGGCTCTTTAATAAATCTAGTACAAAAGTGATGTAGACTGAGTCGAAAACCTCGAAATCGACGAATTCCAGGCAGATTGTAAGATGATATTCGTTGCTTGTCTTAATTACTTGTTGAGTCACTTGGAGATGATCCACTTCGGATCTTACTTGCTCCTTTGGCTGTGCAGCGTTAAGTGTTCTTGATGTCTGTTCGTCAGTACCTTCGTGAAGATCTTGTTGTTCTTTGGTATCACTTCCCGGCATGTTGTTTTTCAAATCCTCATCCATCCCTTTTTGCGAAGTATAATCACTGATGTGGTATTCAAATCGTTCTGGAATTTAGCAATTTTTGGGGCAACGTAGAAAGAGGCTCGTCATTGCTTAAATTCCTGATTGCATGAGTTCCCCGTATTGTCATCTTCGCCAGAAGACCTTCATCGCTTCATCTATTTTAATGCAAGCCAGACTTTTTTTGGAATTTCGTACTTTATTTATATTTTGAAACTCTTTATCGTCATCTATGGTACCGGTATTTTTATCGTTGTACAGTTTTCTATAGAAAACTTCAACTCCCTTTAGAATGTCTTATCTGTGTTTGATGAGAGTCCCATCTTCTTCTTTGAAATCTAAATTTTTTTGATTTATTGACCTTCTGACATCGATTAAATTCCCTCGTGCTTCGTTTCTTTTCGATGTTGCCTTTGCCAGTAGGCAGATTAATTCTCTCTTGTCTTCTAGTGTTTTCTTCAAGTTTGGTGTAGTTATATGTATTCGATCTGATCCGTTGCAGCCTTCATTTTTCTTTGTTTCTGCATGATTTCTTTCGTTTGCTTCGTAATTTTACGGTCGATATTCGTTATCATTGTTCCGGGGTCACTTTCTGCCGTTTTTCTTATGGTCTTCATTACTTACTATGCCTAAGCGAAGATCAAAACTTTTTATAAAACGAGATTTCGAGCGTAATTGCATAATGTAAACTTAACTGTCCATGATGCACAGAGATCTCTATGTACTATGCTGTATTTGTCTAGGCTGAAATAGACTTTTTCTATACAGGCATATTTAAAAGTTTGTGAAAGTTCTCGCCTCCATTTAATTGTTGGCGTGCGCTGTGGGAGGGAAGGGTTATCACAATTCCCCGTACAGTTCTCTTCGTCTTAGCCTGGCTCCTGTCTGCACTTTGTAGTAGCTGAACTAATTTTCTTCGCATATTAACGTTTTTCGTCTTAGCTTTGCAAACGTTCTTCGTCATCTGCAAACAGCCGATCTTCGTTTTTCAGTCAGTTTGATTTTTTTATAATGCTTTTTATGCTTGTTTAGGCGAAATCGTTGGAGAGCCCGGTCCATGCGGTGAGAGTCGCACCAGCTACCACTGTGATCATGGACATGACATCATATGCACGGACAACCACACATGGCCAGGTCCAAACAACGGCATCACAAATTTCGACAACTTCGGTTTGGCCATGCTGACCGTTTTTCAGTGCATTTCTTTGGAAGGCTGGACGGATGTTATGTACTGGGTAAGTGTGATTCATTAAACTCTTATCATATGGAAACTGTGGACTTATCTTGGTAGTTGCCAAATAAAGTGACAGCAGTGTTTATGTATCATATTTTGGGTATTAGCGGTA